ATTAATAACCTACGCAATTAGCTATACATTCTGCTTCGTAGAATGAAGTTTTTTGTTACTTGCAAGTTAACACAAATGGGCATAGCTTGATGCTATTCGTTCTATTAATTGGAGAAGACTATAATTGGTATAGAAGAGATACAAAGGTATGTCAAAGAAAAATTAGATGCAGGAAAGGAAAATGAAAAGAAGAAATCCAAATTTGTTTTGGGAGTGTGAGATAGGCAGACGGGGAGTACACAGCCGAACAACCGCTGGGGTTTCCAGCAGTGATAGCTGAACTAATCAGATGGGCCGCCCCAAACCTGGAGCTGTAGGGTGATTAAATAGGACATGTGATATGCACACGATTTATCAAGGACATGAGCTTAGATAGAAAGGTCGAAAATTAGAATAGAAAATTAGTAGATACTTAAGCATTATCTCGTTTCCTTTATGTTATTGTTATTGTTACTCTCTTATTGTCTTATTTGTCAATTTTTTTGTTACTTGTATGTACTTTGCTTTGGTCATCATATTTTCTGTTTTTGCTATTTTATTTACTTTATGCAGTTGGTTTTTTATATGCTTGAGGATCTATTAGCAATAATTTTTCTATCATTACAAAGATAAAACTATTTACACGTAATCCCCTGAACTCCACTTGTTGCTTGAGGATCTATTAGCAATAATTTTTCTATCATTACAAAGATAAAACTATTTACACGTAATCCCCTGAACTCCACTTGTTGTCATTTTTTCTATTGCATTTAATTAGTCACAAGTTGTGATGCGTCAACAAAAATTGCATGTGTTTGTTTAGCTGACAATGATATTCTACACATTTTTTTGGGAAATTTTCAATATTGAAAAATATTTACATTACGTAATCCAATAATTATAAGATAATTTTGACCTTTTCCCTTAAAATAACGTAATGCTTTCAACACATTTATATATATATTCTGTGAACGCGCGTTGTGCGTGTTTTCATTAATAATATTTTAAAAATTATTTAGTTTTGAAAATAAAAGTAGTAAAAAAAAGCAACTAAGAATATATATATATATATATATATATCAGCTAGAAAAAGTAATAGTATTTTATGACTATTCAAGTGAAGATTCCTATATTTTGTGGTAACTAAAATAGTTTTTATTCATTGTTATCATATCAAAATGAAAGAAAAAATTTCTTTTAAATATTGATACTATATTTATATATGATGCATATACTACTAATTCTTTCTATAAAATAAATTAGTAAGTTCAAATATGAAGATACATATAAAGAAACATTACAAAAATATAAAAAAAATAATAATAATTTTTTCAATACACAAATAGCATCACATTTATCTATAGTCGCAAGCAATTATAATTAAGTACATTAAAAGAATAAACCAATTAATGAAAATTTTAAAAACAGTATTTCAAAGAAATCAACTTTTTCATTTTCATAGCTCATGAATTTCTGCTAGCACTCGTTACGGAGATAGTAATCTTCATATATCATTTAATGAATGTTGAATGTTGCATGTAAATTGATATGACAATTATTCAATTCAATTATTCAATTCCAACATGTATCAACTATATATGTCTCTCCATTTTCCATTTTCTATTTCATGCAAAAGGAAAAATTTAAGGGAAAAAAAGAAACTTAGAAGGAAGATCAGATGTTAAACTAAAGAAACAAAACTTGAAGGAAATGGAAATCATTTGTTACCTTTATATAGTGCTTTTTATGTTGTTTGAAATCTCTTTTGACATAATACTAATTAACTTACACTTAAATACTAAATGAACTATTCAAATTCTACTGATGTTATATTAACAAAGATTGATTACTAATTTAAAAGTGTTAGAATTTGATAAGTCAAGTTAAGAAAATGAGAAGACAAATTACAGGAATTGTAAGAGTTTGTAAAGTAATACATGATTTGTTAATTAAAGCAATTAATCATGTATGACTCTGGGCATTAAAGAACCACTTTTCCACTTCCAAATTCTGTTCAATTTATGTAATTGAAAAATTAATTAAATGAATTTTATTTAACTTATACTTAAGGTGTGCAAAATAATATTTTAATAATAATAAATAATTCAATTGTGAGAGGTTAATACATATTAAATATTGTAATTATAGGTTGCATAAAAATTCGGTTATGAATACAAATATATATATAAAAAAAATTATTGAGAATTCTAATATTTGACTAATTAAATATTTTATAACATTTTAAATTATAGTAGGGGGGTAAAATGGTAATCCGATTTTAGTAAAAAGTTTTTCACTTTTAATAATAATAATAATAGGAATTAATCTAAGAAAATTTAAAAGTCATTACTGTTTAATTAAACTAATTATAACTTTTTAATTTATAGGAAAGTAAAAGCGTAATTCAATTTTTGACTTGAGTTCTTCCCACTTATACTAATATATTATATATATATTGAATAATTATTTAAAATCTCAGTGAGAGTGTATTCTTGTATGGAAAATATACATATCAGTCAAATTAAACTATAATTGACATAGTTTTAACTTTTATCACATTACATAATGAATTATACAAAGACCAAGGTTAACATTTTAGCTTGTAATATGTCAACTGTCTTAATTTTAGGTTATATCAATCTGACTAATTACGGATAGCCACGTCCTATTATTTATTAATTAAATAATCTGATAATGTGATTTTAATTTTTTTACTATGTAAGAAAAATCTCAAGCTATTATTAGAGACTGATTTACAACAACAGTAAAATTTTTACCTATAATTAAAAGTATCGAATTAAAATTATGTATGATTCAGATTTAGTCGGAGCTAAATAGAAAAAAAAGATTTTGGTAAGTTATACATAATGTAAGCAACTTAAATGAATTCACAATACATTGTTGGTGGAATGTTTCTTTTTTTTTTTCAATTAAAAAGTAGTAGGGTTAAAATTTCCTAACTGTAAACTAAAAAAATTAGCAACAATCTCGTGGTCTCACCAGCCTAAAAGTTGGATAACCAAAATCCATACTCAACGCATGCCCATTTTCTAACTAGCTTATTGTGGCAAACCCTATAAATTTTAGATGGTGCTGTCAATATGGGCTAATTTATTCTATTTAAGCTAATTTATACAGGGTTTGATATTTTAAGGATTAGGTCGGACTGACCCATTTTTAGTGTGGGCTAGAAAATGACCAACCCAATTCATAAATTTATGAGCTACAAACTTGTTGGACCAGCCAACTTTTTTAAATATTATATTTTTACAATTATTAAATTAAATTATAAATTATAATTAAAAACATTATAATAAATATCGACAAAACCATATTACATGATGCTAAGTTATTACTAGTTAGTCAATTCCACAAATAAAATTATCTTTATAATATTTACTAAGTTTTTTCAAGTAAAAGTATAAATATCTAAATAGAAATATTTACCTAATTGTTTTGAGTTTGGACTCTCTTTAATTTTATATTTTAATATTATACTATAATTTTTAATTAATTTTTATTTGTCCACGGTTTGGCACTGTCAATATTTCTCAAGCCTCACAAATCAGTGGACTTATTAAGGCCGGGCTAAAAATCCCTTTTCTTAAATGAGCTTCAAAAATCTTAGCACAACCCTATTAAATCTCAAATTAGGCCAAGCCAGCCAACGGGTATTACCTATATTGACAGCTCTAATTTTATGTAATAGATTTTTTCTTTTTAAAAAAATGTGGCATTTAGCTATTTCTGTAGATATTGGAATTTTGTGGGGCTCTATAAGGCCTGTTCAATTCTAACTGAAACTCTATAAAATGTGTCAAGTTTTAATTAGAATTTTTGGAGATTACTCAACTCTAAACTCTAATTCACCTTAAAAGGCATCTCGAATATTCCGCAAATTGATGGAATATTCATGTAGAGAGGTCAAATCTAAATCATCACAGGTTGAGAAATACGTCCCTAACGATCCTCGAATCATGGATAAATATTAGAATCAAGGGAGGAACAAAATTGTATCCGCAATCTTAATGAATAAAATTATGTTTCGCCATATTTTTGTGATTGTAACTTATTTTCTGTCACTTTAAAATTTATTGGCTTTCTTATTTTTTTGTGATTGTAATTTATTTCTGTCACTTTAATATTGACCAGAAGCTTTTACTATGTTATTTGAATTCAAACATACTATATCAAATCCGAAATGTTTATTTTTATTTTATTTACACGATATAATTTTTTAGACCTAAAATATCATTGATAAAACTCCTCGGAACCTTTAGCTTTGACCTTGTGTGCAAACAATTTGGACCTTGTATCATAATTTCGATCGCAAAGTCTCCTCATCTTTTTGACGGCGTGTTTGGTATGAAGTAAAATACTTTTATCAAAAATATAATTATTGTTTGGATTCTTTATTTTCTTAAAAATGATTATTTAAAGAATACATGAAAATAAAATATTACAATGTCAGATATTCCAAGCTGACAGTTTGTCAATGTCCTATTAAACGATATTCGTGGTAACAAATTACTTAACAAACATTATTGGCATTAATGTTTTAAGGTTCATCCCTAGTTTTGACTGTTAGATTTCATTGATAGAATAATGTTGTATACATTTACTCTAGTTTTGAATAATTTTTTTTTAAAAAAAAATTGGTGAATTGGTCTAAATAATGACTTACTTTGATCAAAATTTTATAAGTGAATTTCTTACTTATTTTTTAGCGTATTTGGTTTACGTAAACGAAAAAATTATTCTCCCAAAATCATCCATACATAAAATAACTAGTAAAATACTATCCCTTTTAATTTTTTTGTACCAAACGCACCCTAAATAAAAAAATTGAGAAGACAACAAAAAAAGAGTTTTAAGATAATTCCTTTGTTGTTGTATATTTTTTGGTAGTCACAGGTCTTGTATGAGGAGATACAGATGAGGATTTGGCAACATTCATTATCAATTTATTTATGTTTAAAGAAATTCATATATTATGAGTAGTAGTAGCAGCAGCAGCAGTAGTATAAAATGTCACTTGCTAGGAAGCCAAAGAATGACAAATTAATTAGAGTTGAAATTATTTTTTAGATTGTACAAAATGTGTTGGTTTTGGATGATATTTGTCTTCCTTGGTTTGGTATTTTGTAACCTTTCACCTTCAGAAGGTAGGCATATTTCTAGCCATCATCCAACTGCTCTTGTTGTAGGAAAAGTTTTTTGTGATGTTTGTCACTATCACCAGGATTTGTCAAAGGCCAGTCACTTCATTTCAGGTTCATCACCATCCTAGTTACTTTTGAAGTTATTGTTGTTTGGAATGATTAACAAAGTTGTTGTTTTTTCTTGAAAATCACTTACTCTTTCTGTTTCGAATTGTTTGTCTGTTTTATTTGACATGGAGTTCAAGAAAATAAAGAAAACTTGTGTACTTTGTGGTCTCAAACTAAAGATATGTCCTTTAATCTAATGGTATTAAGCATATCAAATGTAAAGATGAAATTTGAAAATAAGACAAACAAATTGAAATGGAAGGAGTATTTTCTTAAAAGAATGTTTGAGGATTAGAGTCCTATATCCTCCTCTCATGGGCTAGCCTTTAGAGTTGAGTTAGAAGGCGAAGCGCTAAGAAAGAGAAAGTCTTATCACTATACAAAATGAAGCAGCGGCTAGCACGCTAGCCCTTCTACAGGACCATCCCGACCGAGGGCTAATCATAGATCTACTATGACACTCTCCAAGTTGATACGATCCAAATGAAAAAAGGATTTAAATACAATGATAGGATTTGCCATCTTTCTTATTAAATATTGAAAAACCAATTGATCGGGAAAGATCAAATATTATATCTTTATATGACAACGATAGTCAGGTTCATCCCTATTTGGGCTTCCGTTCCATGCTCTATTTTGGGCCAAGCATGAAGGAAGCGTTAAGAGTTTCACATTGGTTGAAAAATGAACTGTTGGCCTATTTATATGAATTTGGACACTCTTTCTCCCCTCAAGTTAACTTTTGAAATGACTTCTTTTTATATATGAGAAAAGGGAAAAAGAGCATTTTGAAGGAAAATGACTTTTATTCTGGGAAATATTTCCTATCATACCAAACACATTCTATCCTCTCTTCTTTCTTGGGAATCTTATAAACTTTTGATGCATTTTTCTGCTTATAGGAGCTATTGTTGCAGTGGAATGTGCAAACTCAAGATTTTACCAAGAAGTGAAAACAAACATGCATGGAGAATTCAGTGTACACCTTCCTTTCAAATTGAACAAACATGTCATAGGATGTTCAGCCAGGCTAATCAGCAGCAGTGAGCCACACTGCGCTGAGGCATCGACAACAACAACAACTTCTTTCCAACTCAAATCGAAGAAAAAGGGAACACACATTTTCTCAGCTGGATTCTTCACTTTCAAACCTGTAAACCAACCAAAACTTTGCAACCAAAAACCAAGCACTCATAGTACCAACAACAAAGAAGTATATCCTGATCACAACTCTTTAACTTCAACTCTTAATAATAATGATCCAATATTAACTCCATCAGTGTCGCGTTTTGTTACTATTAATCAAGGCTATCTTCCACCTCTACCAGGACTCCCTCCTATACCGCAGCTCCCTCCTTTACCACAACTCCCTCCTCTGCCACCTCTTGTATTATTTCCACCGTTTTTTCATGCACCTCCCGTGTCTCCTCCACATTCAACATTTCCACCGTTTTTTCATGAACCTCGAATTCCTCCACCTTCAACATTTCCACCATTTTTTCATGCACCACCAATTCCTCCACCAAATTTTCATTTGCCTATAATGTCTCCTCCGCCTTCAATACCACCTCCAATTACATCACCACCTACATTCGATTTAATTCCATTACCGCCACCCCCACCACCTCCTTCCCCATTTCTTCTCCCTCCGTTTCCATTCAGTCCTATGCCTGGCTTACCTGGAGTTCCTCCCCCTTCTACTTCATCTTCGAAAAAGAACAACCCTTAGTCCAAATGCAACTACACAAATACCTACTAGAAGTTTATATATGAATAGCTTTACAATAAATTCATTTGCTTGGTTGGATTCAAGACATCAGAAAAACAAAAGAAGGAACATATTTGAAAGACTTGGTGATCAAAGCTAACCTATTTATAGTTAATTGTATAATTATTTATAATTCTGTAGTAACAACTCCTGTTTCTAATTCGTTTTTTTTTTTCACAATGATACAAGTGCTGACTTTTATTTCTGAAACACAATTGAAAAACCAGCATCCTGTTAAGTGAACTAATCACAAAATGCTGAAAAGGAAAAGATTTGGTAATGTACATAAAATTCTTCATGCTAACATTTGAAACAACTTCAAATTTCCCTGTTTAAATATCAACTACGAAAACAGATCCATGGCAAATCGATAGGCATAACCATATCACACTGACAGAACTATCAAAGTCGACTTATCTCAATTCAAAACTAAATACCCTTAAGAATGACAATGCAGCTTCTCATATTTAAATGGAAACCTAACTGGACAACCATAAGCTGTTTGTGCACCACCTCATCCACGGAGACCAACCACTTCAACTATCTCCCCATCAAAACGATGACAAGATGCAGAAAAATTAGGAGTGGAGCCATGCTAGATTAATAATCACATACTACCTTCTGTCCTAAGCCTTTTAGGAGCACCACCATAGTTCTCTCCACTGCTTAATCTTGTAGTTGTGGCTCCACTGCTTGTTTTTTTGCTGATATCAAGCTGTACTCTAACATCGGCCAGTGACGGATCCACTCCCACAGATGCTAGAGTCTGGTTTATGATATTAAGCAACCTGCTCAATACCAAGACCCAATATGTCACATAAATAGAATCCAAAATCAGTAGTTTACTGGCATCATAATATAATTTCAGATCAACCGAGTTCAGATTAAAATGTGCCTAAAGGTACAGAGGACAACTGCACAAGTAAGAATGATACGAACATGTGTGTTATACATGACTTTGTGTTAATGGGAAGTCTGAAAAATCCTAAAGTGAGACTCAAATCTCGAAATCCAGGGTTCCGCTTGTTATTAACCTTCAACAGGTAAACCATGCCGGGTCATATAAAATGACTTCCTTCAAGCCACTGAAATCTTTGTTGAACTGGCAATTTTATTCACAAAAAAAATGCAAACCCACAAGTTACAGCAGGTTTTACAAAAAAACTCATGCTGGAAGGGGCTTAAAAAGGCTACACTTTGCATTCTAGCCAACCAGCTAATAACCACGAGAAACATTAACTAGTCTAAATCTATTTCATGCACTTGACAACCATAGGATAATTCTTCTAAGACCGTGACTGCCACTAGGCCCACTGGGTCCAAGGGACTTAAAGTGATACTGTATCACATGCCTACTTCGTAGGTGTAATACAAGTTTGGCATCATTACAGAAATTAGCAAGTCATGGGGTCATAGAAGAAATAAATTTGAATTTCCACCTTACAAGGACATCAAGTCATAGCTATTGAACTCCTGATAAATCATCTTACCTTTGACTATATGCATGTGATCTTCCAACTGCTTCACCATCGAATTTCACTTCTTCTTGATCATTTCTGCCATAGCTCAGAACCTCCGACTCAATTGTATCTCGTTTATCTGGCCAACATAATGATTGTGTCTGAGAAGGGTGCTCAGCATCAGGAGATGGTTCAACAGATGCATTTTCAAATAAATTAGGTTGCAGTGGCATGTTAAAGGCAATTGCCTCATCCGCTGCCATATGAGAATCGTGTGTTGCTCTATATAAAGCAGCAGCAGTCAAGTTCGGTTCTACAAAGCTCTGGACACTTGCAAGCAATGTTGGGTTAATGACAATATCATCCTCATGAGTAGAGCCGTTTCTGATTATTTGAGAATGTTCAACAGAGCCTTCCACGGGCCCAGGAGTACTTCTCTGTCAATAATAAGAGAAGAGCATTAGTTTTACTTCCAGAAAAGCATTACTGCTTCCATCCTAAAGTTGTGCCCAACTCTCCTCCTAAAAGAGCCCAAAATCCGGTCACTTTGCTTTGGAGGGAGGAAATTATAAGCAAATGTAAAACCTTTGTTTGAACTGTAGGCGAGGAGTTTCCCCTAGAAATACAGCTAACGTCTGCATTTTTCTGTATTTGGCAAGCATACGAAATGACTACTGAATTATACCTTTACTGTACAGCAACTGGGGCATACAGGTATAGGTAACATCAGAGAACATTTTTTTCTTTGATCCAGTACTTTTCAGAGGGTAATATCTGCAGTAATTAAAGCGCTCAATCCAATTTTATATAGCTCAGTTTACTTCTCTTGGGTCAAACAATGTCTTCTTTCTCATGGTGCACTGACTTCATAATTTTCCATTACTATTATTAAAGAGTTGAAGATTCCATAAGTAAGCCATCTGGTTAGAATGAATCTATTTTAATGCTACAACTAAACTGCCAAATAAGAAGTGGAGGAGGGAATAAAATCGAAGTACAGAAAATCACATAGCTAAAGGACAAGAAGCCAACCATGTGTTGCCAAAGAAGGAAGTTCTTTGTTATATTTCAACATTAGCCATTCCTTAAGAGATGGACTTAAAATACTATTGCCTCTTTTTCCTAAATAGGGAGGTAGAGAAAAAGTCAACACTTAGGAAAAGAATCCACAGCATAACATCAAACAGATGAAAGTGCAAATGATGCAAGGAACTACTATGCTTTTTACTCAACAGCAGAAATAGCAATAAGAGAACTTAAATTAACAATGATATAGCAAGCCATTCTAGAGATGAGTATTGAAAACACCCCTAAACTTGGCATGAATTATTACTTTAGTTCTCCAACTATAAGCAGCCTTAAAAACACCCGTTTACTTGATTAAGTAAATTTAAAAACACCCCTCTTATGCCACATGGGCATATATGCAGAATTTTCTGTTGGCGTGGCATATAGTGTTAAAAGCGCAAAAAATCTCTAAGGTCCGTGAGGGCTTTAAGCGCAAAGCGCAAATATAAGCGTGGGATTTTATGAAAAAAGGCGCAAAGGGAGAAAAGAATACAAATATATATGTTTAGTCAAAGACTAATAATTACAAACATAAATGACAAATATATGTCCAAAGAAATCGAAAAAATAAATTATGATAACGTGAAATATAAATTATTTAGCGTCACTTCTTCATACGAGGCTCATTGGCAAGGAAACGTTTGCCTTAGAACCATGATGACGACGCAGAAGAGCACATAAAGCGAGGCGAAGCGCTCAACACGTTCTGAGCCTCGCTTCAGGGCTTAAGCACGCCTAAAGCGCGCCTTTGATAATCCTGACATACACATAATATATGTAATCAAAATTTTTTTAAAGAACATTAAATAAATGTGTTAAGAATTTAGCAATTTAAGAAGATAAAAGAAGTTTTCTTTTTAAAGATTTACTTATCACCCACCCCATCCTATACCAAGTACACCTAGCCTCACACCTAAACCCCCTAAAAAATTCTTTTGAACTTTTGTTTCTCGAGGGGAGGGGAGCGGGATAAGAAAAAGAAACATATTTTAGTTTAAAAATATTTTTTTAGGGGAGAAGTCAGGCTACTCGGTGGTGTTGGATCAAAAGTTTTTGTACAAAAAACTTTTGAATTTTTTTTTGGGGTGGAGGGGTGAGGGGATGGGGTTGGGGTACCTGGGTAGGGGATGGGGTGAGGTAAGAAAAAAATCCTCTTTACTATATTTTAGCATTTAATTATTTGAATGTTTTTTTTACTATATATGTGTACGCCACATTAGTAGAAAAAAGCACATATAGCATAGGTGGATGACATGTGGCATAAGAGGGATGTTTTTAAATTACTTAACCAAGTAGAGGGGTATTTTTTAAGCTATCAATAGTTGGGCGACTAAAGTAATAATTCACACCAAGTTTAGGAGTGTTTTCAATACTTATCTCTTCGTAATACTCCTGTATTCAGATTAATATGACACTTCCTACTTTAGAACATTCCAAAATGTTTGACATCATTCTACCAAGGGAAAAGATTTAAAAATCACTTGCAATTTGTTCTATATTTATCCTATGTTCACCTATAAGTCCATAAAAGCCTTCACAATCTTCTTGTCTCAAATATGCCCCTCCAACTAATATTTTCTACGAAAAAAGGCCTAAAATGCCCTCGACGTATTGAAAATGGTACAAAATAACCCTCCATCCACCTATTGGCTCCAAAATACCCTTCCCACCCACCTATTGGCTCCATAATCATCCACTTTTGGGTTCAAAATTGACCACTTATTTAACAATTTTAAATTTAAACTATTTAAATAGTTTTTTAAATATGTGGCGCTCAACTATATGTTACAATTTGACTTATTCATATAATTCATAAATTAATCCACTACCCACCCGTTACTAATTAAACCCCTCTAAATTAATAAACCTGTCACATTACTAATGCAACAACAGGAAAGTTACTGCCAATGAGTGTACTTAAAAATTTGAAGCGAAAATATCTATAGAAGTAAATTATCATACATTCAAGACTTCAAGAGTCCAAATAAAAATTACCGATAAACTTAAAACTCTGACAATGTTCATCTTAATTATTCTTTCGTCTCAATTATGTGATGTTACTTCATAGATAACTTTTTTTCAAAATAATATATTAAAGGTTATAAAACAAATCATAAATATTTATAAAATTATATTTAAAAAAGTCCATGAATTAATTCGGGATGTACTACTTTTTTACCTTTAATCATAAATTTATAATTAAAGCTTGAAAGAGAATCATATTGAAAGTGTCCTCCTAAATAAACGGCTCAACCTAAATTTGATTGGGGCTTTGATTCTGATTCGAATAATTTTGGATGTCATTTTCAGGAATCTATAATTTCATCGTGTTTTAGTATAGTTTATGGCAATTTTGATATTATAATTGGTTTATTAATTAGGTGGTGTTTAGTTAGTAATGATTGGGTAGTGGGTTGGTTTATAAATTATATTAATTAATTAAATTATAAACAATAGTTGAGCGCCAAGTATTTTAAAAAATATTTAAACATTTTAATTTTAAAACAATTAAATAAGTGCTCAATTTTGAACCCAAAGGTGGATGACAAGGGTATTTTGGAGCCAATAGGTGGATAAAAAGGGCATTTTGGAGCCAATAGTTGGATGGAGGGTAATTTTGTACCATTTTTAATACTTAGAGGATATTTAGGC